ATTAAAAGCCAGATCAGCGTTGACTTATAGTCTCCATTAACTGCATCATTAATCGTATTCTAAAGCGTTAATTGCCACTCAAGGGAGCATCTATTTTTATTCAAGGGCCTCCATCACCGCAACGAGTTGGGAAAACTTTGTGCAGAATTTGTTCTTTGGTTTAACCCGTTGTTTGGTTATACTCGTTCCCTAACTTAGCTCGTTCTCTGGTTTTGCTCGTAGCATATTTTTTCACAAACCGCATCTTTTTTTTGTACTCAAAGCACATCATGAAGATTGGGCCATCATATCAGAGCTAAAAATATGAATTTTTCTATAATCTCCCTAATTGAAGTTTGCAGAGACACCAGCTTTATCCACAACATCTACAGGCGCAGAGGATAACATCTGCAGGCGTAGCGATAACAACATCTACAGGCGCTACTGATAACAACATCTACTGGCGCTGCTGATAACAACATCTACAGGCGCTGTTGATAACAACATCTACAGGCGCTGCTGATAACAACATCTACAGGCGCTGTTGATAACAACATCTACAGGCGCTGTTGATAACAACATCTACAGGCGCTGTTGATGACATGATCGCGAGGAGGGTCGACTAGGACAACAGGCGAGCTGCATTATGTGCCAAAATTGATAACAGGCGAGCTGTATCATGTGTCAAAATTGATAACAGGCGAGCGACGTTCTGTGTATAACGCGATAACATCGGAATACAATCGTATAGCATACTTCGTATCATCCATACGTACGTGCCTAAATGGGACGTATTTAGATGATACGTATCTGTATTTATCATCCAAATATCTGTCATTCAATTCAGCCATAGCCATGAGGAAGTAGTGTAACGTTCACGCATGTCTAATCTGAATGCATCCTACCCATTCGGGGAGTACAAAAGCGCCCATTCATGTACTAATTTGATCTGATTGCTTAACTAAGTGAGAATTTCAAAACGAAGACAATGCCATTATAATTCAAAATAATACAGAGGAATTAAATAATTCAATGTCTATGGCACACAATGTTTTTTCAATCTTGTAGGTCTCATTTCTGAAAATATTTTTCAATGTTTTCAAAGCAACAAGCCGCTCATTCCGTGGTTCGTAATGTTTCACATTTGCACTACGCGATGTCGGAATTATAGGTAATCTGATGCGACTTTGCGTCGTAAATACAACGGCGTGCCGCCGCGGTCGTAATGTCGTTAATTTACATACTGAAGGAGCGCAAGCTGAAGTCGAGGATCCTTCAGCGCTTCAGACGCGCATAATTCAGCATAATGTTCGCTGCTCAGCCCCCTGACTCTGCATAATGGCGTACCTACATAAACTTCCACCTCTCAATAAAGACGTCATCTCAAGTTGCGTTCATAAATTTTTGTCTTTTCCGTAATCGTCGCCTTTTAGTAAATTATTTCTCTCGCTATAAAAACTGTCCGTGCGGTGCCTTTGTCTCGCGAGCCGCAGTTTTCTCTTCGTTCAATTACGATGTTGACGGTTTGGTTACGACATTACTTTCAGTCATAACTGTCATTTAATAACGTGTATGCTAGGAGTGCTTTATTATTTTGCTACAGCTATTATTGTACCACTATTATAATTTTACATCTAATATAATTTAAACCACTATTATAATTTTACCATTGCTACTATTATACAGCTACCATGATTTTCCCACAACTCCAATTTTACCACTGATTTTATTTTATCACAACCATAATTTTACCACTACCATAATTCCATCAATACTACCAGTTTATCGCTATTAATATTTTACCACTACTACAATTTTACCACTACCATAATTTTACCACTACTACTATTTCACCACTACTACTATTTTACCACTACTACTATTTTACCACTACTACTATTTTGCTACTACTACTATTTTACCACTACAACTATTTTACCGCTGCTACTATTTTACCACTACTACTACTTTGCTACTACTACTATTTTACCGCTGCTACTATTTTACCACTACTATAATTTTACTATTTCACCACTACAACTATTTTACCACTACTACTATTCTACCACTAGTACTATTTTACCACTGGCGTAATTTTACCACTACTATAATTTTACCACTACTACTATTTTATCACTACTATAATTTTACCACTACTACTTTTACCACTACTATAATTTTACCACTACTACTTTTACACCTACCATAATTTTACCACTACTATTTACGACGACTATTCATGCCACGACAAGGAAGGCACTTCAGCAACACCGCCTACATGACTCCCTTCATCCACAAGGAAGTGCACGCGGCGGGCTCGGGTGCTCCGGGACCCAGGACTTGTTTTTTTTATTAGCTTTAGTCAAAAAATAAAGAGGAAACAAACATCGACCTAGAGCTGATTGTAGGATTGTGTAGCTACAGTTGATTGTAGGATTGTGTAGCTAGAGTTGATTGTAGGATTTTATTTCATTTCCTACGATGCTGAAGGCTCGCAATCACGATTGCCGGGTTTGATTACATGACAGGATAGATTGTAGGAATCAGGATGACGTGTGATTGAGGGACTTGCCGAGACCTCTCGAGACTGATTGCTGGTCGTCGCTGAGATCAAGAAGGTGACAGCCTCACCAGAAGTTCCTGAAATTCGTGCTGGCATGAAATTGGAAAATTTTAGGACCAATTCTTGCGGCCAAGGCTAAGGTCGTTCAGTAGTTTAGGGAGGTTAGATATGCAGGCGATGGCTTTGTGAATCCCTTACCCCTTGAGTGAATATTTTATAATTTCATTTATAAAAATTACTTTTTTCTCTTTATTGCATCATCAATGCCTGCATATTGCTTACTATTCACCGTGCATGTTTCTGGTCACAGTAATTACTCTAATGTAAATTCTTAGTACCTTACGAGCGCTCTAATGTATAAACATTGCAGTCCTATACTCGCGACACGATACCGAACCCCATAACCGCAATTGGAGAAGAATTAGGTAGGCCTAATATCTCTCTCCATACAGACGACCTAAATTATTATTGCAGTACATAGCACGTTGACCACAGTGAGCGTGCAACCGTTGGGCGGAAACTTAACTCTCAAACTTCTCCATATTCTATAGATTTTGCGCTAAGTTATCAAGTAACCTAAAGTTCACAAAAGCGATTACTTTCCCTGCTTGACTTCCTTTCTAGCTGCTCAAGAATAAGAGACAGTTACCTAACCTGACGTGCTTACTTCATGTCCCATTACACCTGTTCAATCATTCCTGCCAGCTAAACCAATAAAACCAATATTCCTAAATAATCACGTCTGTTGATTCTGTCATAAAGTGAAATTATCGGTCCTCCGGATTCCCAAGAAATATCCCCCCAGCTCATCCCAGATCCCCGGCCATGTTTTCCGGTTGGGAGGAGGCAATTGGGATCATGGTTGAATTAATACTGGGATTAATAAATTCAACCATGATTGGGATAACATGACGCTTTTGGCTGTCTCCAAACAAACTCGACCAGAGGTTGGAAATAAGGTAAACGATTCAGAGAAAATTGCATTTTTTCATTTCCCAAGGGACCAATTCTGTGTGTTTTTTTACACTAATCTAAACGCTTTGAAGCATTTGTATTTGAAACCATAAGTTTTCTAATTGCAGCTCTTCCATAAAATCCATGCAGATCTGTGCAGCTCTCGGCGGACAATGTTATGGAACCTGGATTCTTTAGGTCTCCATTGAGATCTGAAGTAATTTTAACAGCAGCTGACTATCGATTTCACAGTTCGACTGAGGTAACGACGGTCTCTCTCAGACAATTTCGACTTTCGGCCCGACCTGTGCTTTACCGAGGACGTTTTTTCCTTCTCTTTCAAAAGCAGTCACTTTTTTGAGACAGTACATCTAGAAACGGCAATCGTTGAAGTTTCTGTCACACAAGCACCTGTCATACGGGCACCAATAATTTGGCCTATTTCAACGTTGGAGACGTTTGCCATTTATAGTACTAGTTAGTACTAGTATAGTTTGCCATTATATATACTTTTGAGACAGTGCATCTAGAAACGGCAATCTTTGAAGTTTCTGTCACACTAGCACCTGCCATACGGGCACCAACAATTTGGCCTATTTCAACGTTGGAGAAGTTTGCCATTTATAGGTTAAGCTATGTTCATAAAAATTTACTAAAAATATCGTTGCACGAATAAAATATCAATTAGCAGCAACAATATACAATAAACCTTGTAAAAATGTTACGTTTTCATTGCTTATAACATGTTCAAAATTTACACTATCAAAATGTCAGGTGTTCAAGCTGTAGCAGTAGAACAACGGCGGTTATGGCTTTCATAACTTGATTATATGGGCAACTATTTTACTTTAGCATTCTCGTAGTACCTAGAGGAGGTGCTTTTAACAATTCTGCAATTTCAGCTATATAATTATTTCATAATATCTCAAATAAATACGAAAATGAGCGGAGTGGCCCCGTAGTTACAGTTCAGAGTACTAGGATTGAAGCAGAGAGGTGCGGGTTCGATACCAGCTCTGTGCGCCAGTTTATAGTCACAATAAATAGGCGAAGGAGACCGGGTGGTAAAGCAAAGCAAACTTGGAGCAGTCTGTGCCGAGTTCGAGATCGCAACAAGTTGTAGAATGTTCTGCGATGCTAGGAATCGGCGACTGGGCTAAGCCTAAAAAACACTGTAATCGCTATTAATTTATCAATTAAAATAATCGGTAAACTTGACAACACCGGGCGTTTTCTTAACAGTGGAACAAGGTAGGTTTCCAATCAATTACATCCACAAGTTTCACGGTTGGTAATTAATTCATAGATAATTTATTGTAAGTACATTTTATGCACAAAAGTTACAAAACTATTCGTTTTTGGCGCATCCAAGCACAGGTCTTTTTACTTCTTCCTAAGTATGTAACTTTGACTTGTGCGAATTGAAAGTTTACTGTAGGATTACTTCCAAATACATCGAAGAAAAAGATCCATCAATAGGTCAGCGGAGTTCACGAATCAGTGTTGGTTACTGACTACTGGCAAGCAGTTGTAAGTTATCGGCATGATGTGTGGATGTGGTGTTTTTTTTTATTCTTCCGTGACTGTCATTGCTATCATTTGCTTAATTAATCTAGTTCCAACATATATTTATGCTTAATTATGATCACAATTCTCTAACATTGTGATAACATAGGTTATAACTTTATAAGGTTAATCACAGAATCAAATCAATCAGTAGTCAGTACCTAGACTGACACTGAGACAATCCTTTAACTTTAACAGTCTTTAAGTATACTTGTTAACTTGTATTCACTGATTTCAAGTGGTAAATAAATTAATAGATGATTAAGTTGAGAAATGGATTTAGACACATGAAAACTAATTCGGTATTATTGCAGATTAACTACATCCAAAAAAAAGGGTGTTTTTTTTTTTTAATTATATGTTTTTTGGGGTGTAGATTACGAATCTGAAATCCATTTTTGGCGGTCGGCATCGGAAAACCGATTTTTTTCCGACCCAAAAATCGCGCTAAAAATGCTAACATCTTGAATGAAACTTACCCGTTGCACTGCAACGGGTAAAGAAGACGAAAATGTTACCCGTTGCACTGCAACGGGTAACATTTTCGTCTTCTTTGTCCATAAATCTGGAGATACATTGCCACATCGAGAGATCACAACCTAACGCCAACTCGCAGGGTGGGTTGGTTCGCCCAGTTTCTTTTTAGATCAAAATGCTATCTAAAAAAAGGAACTTGGCTGACTTAACCCAACCTAAGAGCTTTTTGTAAAATTTCGATGAACAATCCGACCCTTTATATAAAGGTGAGTGGGTAACGTAAGTTACGTAACCCCCATGTTAGTAAATAAAGGTGAGTGGGTAACGTAAGTTACGTAACCCCCATGTTAGTAAGTCGCGAAAAAAATCGGTTTTCCGATGCCGACCGCCAAAAATGGATTTCAGATTCGTAATCTACACCCCAAAAAACNGGTACTCTGACAGGCTTTAAATAATAGCTTTTTTTCGTGGGTCACATTTTTAATTTTTTAACCTATTAGATATGCAAACTTTTTAAATCTTTCTATTGTGTTATGTAGCCTCAGTATTAGGCCTTTAATGCCCATTGACAAAATTTTTCTATGTCAAATAGTTTTTGAGTTGTGGAGGTTTTTGTTGAAAAAACGAAAAGTGGTCTAAGTTACCCCGCCGGTCTAAGTTACCCCATTTTACGGTATTCCAACACAGCGAACGGAATTCGAACACGTGGATGACGGCATTACGTATCAGTAGAATTTGAAGCGTGGACGGTATACGCCTCGGCCTCACCACGTGCCGATTAGCCAAATATTGCCACACACAGTGACGGAATATAGGGATTTGGTATTGGTAGGCTTGCATTCTAAAGGCTTTTACATAAATATGGCAACATTTTGTGACGTTTCATCATTGCCGACGCGTACTACAGTGTTTTGAGAGTCACCTAAAGCAAACAGAACTTGAGTAACGCATACGGTTATTTTTTTATAGTTTTTCATTTCTCGATGCGTGTGAAAAGTGAGAAGTGTGAAAAGTGAGATTTTGGAGGAAAAGTACCTCTGCTACTGCTAAGGGGTAAGCCCATAGTGTAAGGTCTGTAGCAAAAAAATATATATATGCTGTAGAAAAAATTTTACTTGCATAAAAGTTGCAAACTTGCACACAGTTGTTGGCTTACAATTGTGATTGACAGATTTTGCGTATCTCAATCCAAAACAAAATGTTGGACATTTCTGGCTATTTTCCGCATGATGGGCAGACCGCCGCAGACAGGGTATTAAGGGTAAGGGACACCCCCCCCCAGGGTAATAAGGGACACCCCTAAAACTGCATCTACAGTAGAACCTCAGTTAGCAAATGCTCCAGTTAACCAAAAAATTTGTTATAACATTTATCTTGCTCAGTGAAAAAAATTTCACTTAATCAGTTAATGTAAAATTAGTGGATCATCGGTCATCACAAAATTGTGCATAGGATGTCATTGATAGAATTAACCCAAACTATGACTTATTTCTCCAAAAATATGATGGAGCAGATGGACCATTGATGGTTGTCACTAAAATGTTCCTTCTTGTTTCCAGTATGTTTTTTATCTATGTTTGTTATTGTTATACTAGTGAATTCACTTGACCCAATTAAAATGGTGTGAAATTACAATCCAACCTATAAGCTTACTGATACAGAAGAAATGCTACATGGCTGCTGATCTGAAGCTTGCAGTGGACAAGGTCATTGTAAACATGGTGCCAATCCATAGGTTATTCAAAAGAACCTGTTCTTATGTCATTTTGAACCGATCAACACTTCTTTATGGACCGATCGTAAAACACACCTTCACCGGCAAAAGCTTTCACACTTCTGAAGAAGGTGAGCTGACAGCTACACTGGCCAAGTCTGGTAGATTTATAGGACATAAAACTAGTAGATCTATTGATAGTGCTGTGCACTGTGCTATCAGTTACCTATCTGTTATGTGACTCTTCAATGTTTAGGGAGATCTGCATTCCTGAAGTGTTTCTTGTATATTGAAGCCAGTTAAATGGTCAATATTTAGCTCATTACCTTGCTCCATAAAAACTTTACAAAGCTAATGAATAGACTTATCAATAATTGTTTACCCAAAAATCCCAAAGTGGTAAACACCACATTGGCCTGTTGGCCATTATTGAAGGCAATAAGTGCCCTTTTTAGCCATCAATTATGATCCAAATACTTTTATTCTTAGTAGGCTAATTGCAACATAAAAAATAACACCTAAAAAAAGACAAAAAAGCTGAAAAAATCAAAAAAATCAAATAAATAAAAAAAATCATGAAAAAATAAAAAAAAATCATTGATTTTTGATTTTTTTGATTTTTTTTAAAAAATAAAAAAAATCGCCAACCCTGCATCACATACATACGTAAAATGTAAAAATAAGAACATTTTGCTTATTTGAATTTTCTGAAAAAATTGATAGAAAACGTGAAATTCATAGAAAACAGCTAAAAAGGGGTACTTTAGAAAATCTATCTCCTCCTACAAATATCATCCTACAACATCGAGACACGTATCATTCGGTTCGTAAGGACCATACCTAAAAATTTGATGATCATCTTTCTCATTTTCCCCTTAGTTTTTTTTATGTGCATTTTATCCCATTTTTCTCATTTTTCCCCCCTCCCTCCCCTTCTCCCCCATATAAAAAACGAACCGGACAGAAATTAAAAAAAATGATCATCAAATTTTTAGGTATGGTCTTTACAAATCGAATGGTGTATGTCTCATTGCTGTAGCTTGAAAACTGTAGAAGATAGGTTTTCCGTGACAATAAGTTGAACTTTTCAGGACGGCGCGACAAAGTCCCGCGCGCCTCGAAATAGGCACTCAATGTAGCATGGATACCAAACTACAGGCTTCTGTAGCTTAATCCACTCAAGGATGCTAGCAGCAACTTGTAGCGCACCTCTCCGTACAAAGTTAGGAGGGTGACTGAGCTCAGATGCCAGATACACCAATATATGTAGTCTTGCCGCTCAAATTTTCTTAGGTCTATTTACTGAAAACACTCCACCCCCCACCCCCCAGTTGAAGCCCGGCCGTGTGCGTCAATATTGCCGTACATGGATCGCAGTAGTATCGTTGGAAAGCTCAGAATGTCAGCTTTAAGATGAGACTAAGCATGTAACTGCAGCACAACTCAAGTAGAAACTATATTCAAAGATTTCAGCAGCGTACAGCGATGGCAGTGGTACCATTGGAAAGAGCAGAATTCCAGCTTTCAGATGAGCACAAAAACTGGAAAATGCCAAAATTGAAAATTTTAGGGTAGTCTCCCTTAACCAAAAACGCTCAAAACCGTCCCTTATTACCCCGTGAATCTAATTGTATGGTCTTTATTGCATCTCCTGCATTGTGAGAGCAAACAAAATTTCTGCTTTAAATATATCTACAGTTTAGAAAATTGATGACTTGCTGCTTATTTTGATAAATAGAAATTTATCACAATTTTCCAGGCACAATTATTCTGAAATTTACTAACAAACACAAAATACCTTCAAGATACCTGTTTCTCTGACTTGAATTAACTTTCATTGAATTTGGTTTTTTAAATTTCTGAGACTTTGAAAATTTCTTAGATGAATGCTATGTTAATCTTGAAAAAAATCAGTCTGGCCTACTAGTGCTGCAGCTTCAAATGAAGTTCCTGATTTTTATTTAAGATGATTTGAGAACTATCAATCAAAGATGATTTAAAACACAATCTCAAGTTATGCTACCATATGGATTGATGGAAGGGAGTGGAGCCCATTGCATCCATCTGTCAGAAGTTAGTTTTCAATATAATTTTTTAATTTCTGCTTGTCATATTTTAGTTGCTGCAAGTATTAATAAATTTAATTTTATTTCCAGCAATGGTGGTGGAGCAAAGTGTTCTGTGTGAAAATACTCACCCCATGACTTATGAGACCTCCCATTTGATCACAAAGCCTGCTGCTAGCCAGACTAAACCTAATAAACTCAATAACTTGGAGTCCAATGCAAAGACAGGCAGTGAACTCTTTTTCAATGGATGCTCGGATGGAATTCAGTCCAGTCCTGCAATGGTCTGCAGTAGTTTTACCATTGCAGAGAATAACTCTGATGAAACTCTGTACAAGATTGCCTCTCAGAACCATCCTGTCCTCTTGAGCTCAAGCATGAGCAAGCTTGCCATCATTGATGGCTATCAGGATGTGATGATCCTATGTGAGCGTCAGTCACTTGCTGCTCACAGGATTGTCTTGTCGGCTGCCAGTAGCTTCCTCAAAACTATATTCCAGGTAACCTCATGCTACTGGCAAAAATTTTAATCAACATAGAATTACATAGGTACCTTACTGATTCTGTCAGATATAATGTAATGATGACTTTGTGATATTGTGATAATATTTCATCATTTTAATGCTAGTTTATATAGGAAATTTATTGAGTCTAAGCTCATTTTCCAATAACCTGAAGAAATGTAGTGAAAATGTATATTCATGTAATAATTTAATGTTACCTATTTATCCTGACACATTTTAGAGTGGGCCTTTGAATGCTAATGAATGACAATAATATCTCACCATTTAGAGCCTGACAAGTGATGGTGTGCTGTGCCTCACCCTTTTATTCCTGCCTTCAGAGCCTGACAAGTGACGGTGTGCTGTGCCTCACCCTTTTATTCCTGCCTTCAGAGCCTGACAAGTGACGGTGTGCTGTGTCTCACCCTTTTATTCCTGCCTTCAGAGCCTGACAAGTGACGGTGTGCTGTGCCTCACCCTTTTATTCCTGCCTTCAGAGCCTGACAAGTGACGGTGTGCTGTGCCTCACCCTTTTATTCCTGCCTTCAGAGCCTGTTTAGTGATGGTGTGCTGTGCCTCACTCTTTATTCCTGCCTTCAGAGCCTGACAAGTGACGGTGTGCTGTGCCTCACCCTTTTATTCCTGCCTTCAGAGCCTGATTAGTGATGGTGTGCTGTGCCTCACTCTTTATTCCTGCCTTCAGAGCCTGACAAGTGATGGTGTGCTGTGCCTCACTCTTTTATTCCTGCCTTCAGAGCCTGACAAGTGACGGTGTGCTGTGCCTCACTCTTTTATTCCTGCCTTCAGAGCCTGACAAGTGACAGTGTGCTGTGCCTCACTCTTTTATTCCTGCCTTCAGAGCCTGACAAGTGACGGTGTGCTGTGCCTCACTCTTTTATTCCTGCCTTCAGAGCCTGACAAGTGACAGTGTGCTGTGCCTCACCCTTTTATTCCTGCCTTCAGAGCCTGACAAGTGACGGTGTGCTGTGTCTCACCCTTTTATTCCTGCATTTAGAGCCTGACAAGTGACGGTGTGCTGTGTCTCACCATCGAGGGGGTGAAGTGGTCCACGTTATGCCACATCATGCAGTACATCTATGTTGGCCAGACATACATCCAGAAGCAGGACATGGTTGACTTCATTGCTGCTGGTCAATCTCTGGGCATTTGTGGGCTCAAGGACTTGCACGAGTATTTGTTGGATGCACAGCAAGTTAGTTCTGTGATGTTGATGCTCTATTGTTTCTCTTAATTATTTCATTCTATTGTATAGGTACTGTTTTGTACTGGATGGTTTCATCATTATTTAAACAATTAAAAAATATCTTTGTGACGTTTTGAATTACCAAACATGTTTAATTCCATCTAATTTATGTTGGAGCACATTTCCATCATGTTCTCAAATTATGAACTCTTTTCAGGTTTCTGCTGCTGAGTCTTCATTGACTTGTGAACCGGTTCAGACTGAGTCTGAACTGGTGTCGAATGCAGTGAACAGCCCAAGTGATGCAGACATGGCCAACAGTTCAGAAGATAAGTCCGACAAAGCATCAATCATTGGTGCTCTGAATGATGCTCCTCTTCAGTTCCAAACAAGAAAAGAGCTTGCATCTCCATCTGATGAATCTAATCGTGCCACCAGTCCAGAGAAGAGGGTAGCCAAGACTCAAGCAGAAAGCTCTCGTTCTTCTTGTGGAACACAACTCGCTTCATCTACAGAAATAATGCCAAAGAAAATTGATGAGTCAATTTTTGTGGATGTTCCAGCTGTTGTTGAAGCTGACAAAAACAGAATGCTTCCCAAATATCCCATTGATACTCAGTTCAGCAATGAACCTCCCAGGAAAATGTTTAAATCATCTGCTGAAGATCGCTTGTACGATCGCTATACCGGTACAGAAGCACAGTCTGAAAACAAGCATGATAAAACTTCTCACTATAGCTCAACTGAACCGGGTGAAAATGAATTGTCTATGTCTGTGAAAGCTAACGTTTCGTCGTCGATCAGCTCCAATATAAATTTTGCCGAGAGTAGCTTGCTTTTGCGAGACACTGCTCTGCAAATTGGAAATATTAAGTGTGATCCTTTGAAAGTATCTCTTGATTGTCAAGAAGCTACAAGCAACGGTGTCATTCCTGCTGCAACTCCATCATTAGATCCCGTCAGGTCTCATTCTTTCACGACTGAACCTTGGTGCCTAAGACCCAGCATTTCATTCCCATCTGAAAACATCTCTGATGCCTCTGGGCTGAAATTGAACGAGGCTCCGTTATCTATGCTTCCCGATAATTCAGATGCTAAGATGTTGCGTCCGATAAACGGGACTGCGCCACTCTCAATCCTTCCTCCACTGCCAGCTAGAAATCAGCTTTCACTTGAAAATGAGCATTTTATTCCTAATTTAGCAGGGAATACATTATTTTCCGCAAAAAACATTTTCTCTCGACCAATTTCTAAACATGTTATAAGCGATGCTCTTTATCCAGAAAAATTCAATCCTCATTGTGAAGGTTCCAATCAGAACCAAAACAATGGTTTTTCCAACCATGGTGCCCAAATAAGCCGTTTACTCTCATCTTTAGCTGCACAAAGCTTGGCAAACCAACAAGCAGCGCAGGAAATTGAGCGTTCTGACATCTCAAATTCTATAAACCAACAAGATAATACAATTGTCAATCGCGACTTGCAGCACAAAGCTGTTGACGGCGCGACAACTATACCAATGGGCAACCATGATTCCTCGAAGAAAAATCTTGCACACTTCAATGGAATTTCCTCCATTCAGCGTCACATTGCTCATGGCCTGGACAGGTTTGATGATTCCGGGACTGTTAATACTGGTGGCATGGCGCCGGGCAAGCCCGTCAGCGAAGGCAGAGCATCTGCACAAGGCCACAAATTTGCTACTCAGGAGGAGATCGACGCTGTCTTGGGTAAGTTCTACTATCAGCTTATACGAACTTAAATTGAGTATACATTATTATGATAAAACGTTCCATCCGAGACTTCGTAGTTTAGTTGTAGGCTATTCTTTATTTTTTCATCAACATTGGTAATACCTGAGAGATTCGTTGATCTCTTTGTCGCCATATTTATTTTAAACGCAAAGTACAGAGATGCCTGGGAGATTTCCGAGCCGTTTTTACTTCTCAATTGATACAGACGATGTCATCATTATCCTGACTAGCTGCCTCATTCACAGTATGACATTTTAACCTCACAAATAATACCGACGATGTCATCAGTATACTGATTGGCTGCCTCACACGCAGTATGACATTTAACCTCACAAATAATACAGACGATGTCATCAGTATCCTGACTGGCTGCCTCACTCACAGTATGACATTTTAACCTCACAAATAATACAGACGATGTCATCAGTATACTGATTGGCTGCCTCACTCACAGTATGACATTTAACCTCACAAATAATACAGACGATGTCATCAGTATCCTGACTGCTGCCTCACTCACAGTATGACATTTTTAACCTCACAAATAATACAGACGATGTCATCAGTATACTGAGTATCCCTCACAGATCAGTATCAGCGGAAGCTGGCCTTCCACGAGCCGCGGCCCTGCCCCTCCTGTGACCGCATGTACCGGGACGCCGCCACCCTGCGCACTCACCTGGGCATCATGCACACCCCTGGTGGGCCCATGCTTCTTTACCTCACTTTATGATAACCTAATAAACCTTTATTAGGCACACATAGGTATCTTACAATATTCATAACACATTTTTTTACAACATTTGTAAAATATTTCTTACAACATTTGTAAAATATTTCTTACAACATTTGTAACACATTTCTTACAACATTTGTAAAACATTATAACACATTTCTTACAATATTTTGTAACACATTTCATACAATATTTATAACACATTTCTTACAATATTTGGAACAATTTTATTTGTAGTGAGCCTTTGAATCTCGTATTTGCGATACTCCCTGGCAACACTTCTTTGAGAAGTCTCCAAAAAAGGAGTTGAGAGCATATTACGTTAAAATCATCTGCAAGTGTTCTAAGTCCATGTCATTTTTTGTGCACACAGTCCAGCTTCTCGAAAGTCAGAAACGAGATCAAAATTAAAAGTAATGACACTTGTTTCATTGCAGGCAGTGAACCTTACCAGTGTTCATGCGGGGCGCAGTTCAGAACCAAGTACGAGATGTACCATCACAAGAAGAACGGCCATTATCTCACCCCTACCCTTCAATGAAGCTGATCGTGCTTTCCATTCACGAGGGTTCATTGCCCTTCACGTGCCTTTATTCTATTTCATTAATTTCATACTTAATACTAAGGGCAAAAATTGTGCTTCATTTTTGCAGTTATCTCCAGCGGACGGCATTTTATTCGTCTTTCCCTTTAAATCAATGAAAGAAGAGAACATTAATTTTAAATCGTCTACCACCACGACCAGTCAAGCGGATCTGGCGGCATTATGAGATTATAAGAATTGTTCGATATTAGCTGAGCGTATCCGAAAATTGTTCCTAAGCGCGAAATAAATCGCTAGATTCTTGTTATAAAATCTCTGCTGAATCCTGATCTTTGATAGAGCCGTGGTGCTCTTTGCCTCAACTAATGACTAAGCCTTTTTTATTTATTTTTTGAGATATGTTAACTATAGTGGAGCTGAGTCGGAACATTGCATTCCAAGATAGGTTCGTCAGAGCTCTTGTATGTGTGTTTTTCATTTCGCTGATGTAGTTTTTTTAGAAATTAGAATTGGGCATTACTATTGTGCCTCGGATTCTCCAGAACCCGTTTCTTTGAAATATGCAGCAAAGATTACGGCTTCTTTATTTTTATTCTCGGACTTTTAATCTTACGTTTGTGGAACGATGATGGTTGAATTTTTTGCTGTAATGATATGCATTCTAGTATATACTCGTGCTGCAATCATGCTTATAACGAGGATTCTCACACAGTTGATATGATTGTCTTCACTCATTAGTCACACCTCAGTAATTAAATGAAGTTGAGTTAGAAGTAGTTAATTTCGTTGGCTGCTGGAAATTTTACTCACGATTGGTCGCGTCTAATTTTGAACCTCTAACTACGCATGATTTGTGCCTTTGTAAGGTGTGTGGTCTACACATGAATATATGGGCTAATAATATGGGCCAAGCCCATGATTATCAGAAGTCTAAGTGGTTAATCTTTTGTTTATTTAGAGGGAGGCGAATGTGTTAGTGTACTCGTTATATGATCCTGACGTCTTGCATATGTGTTCCTTTGTTGTTTCTAATTAGAGTTAAGATTATATTATTTTTATAGAAAACTTTTGTTACGTACAATTTAATTGATATGGTCTACCTCTGAAGGCATTCTCTACCTATGGGCATTTCTGGTTAATTTTACGTCGTTTTCGTTTTTACAACAGTTCCTTGGTACAGAGTTAACTTAAAATATGATAAGAAACAACTTACTATCACTTATAAGACGTGAGCTCTACTTGTATTCTCAGCCAAGACTTGTTACCAACAGGTGAGCTTTGTGGTATCAGTGATGCGCCGTGCAACGCAGGCATGTCGATAAGGCATTTAACTATCATATGTCCGTCCTGTTCATTCGCTACTTCCATTTACTTCTCCAGTTTGCAGGAGCATCTGAATAATTGTATGTTTTCAGTGTATTTACAACAGCAAGGTGCCAGTCGTGAATGCACTATTGGTGATTTGTACTAGTAGAAATCGGATGGTGTTACCACTGTGCATCTCATTGAATGTTGGTCTCTCGTTTGAACTTGTAAGTCTCGTAGAATTTTGGTTATGAGATGGGACGTTTAATCGTGATATTTCTAATTTCGACCAGTGGCATTAATTGTCAACCTTTCATGAATAATTTTCAGTTGTCTAACAAACCGTTTGTGACTTATGGATAGACTATGCTATTTCGCTTGATGTCCGCATGATCGTTATGTTTCATATGCAATTTGTTTGATTTGTATTTCAGCTGATCTTCTCGCCCTTATTGATGAACCCAGATTCTTTTTAGAGGCATGTGAATTTTAATAACACCTCTAGTTCTTTTCCGTAATTACTAAGATACGTCAGTAGACGTTGTTCCAGTTTTTGAACGTTACCACACACGATCAATTTGTGTGTCGCTTCATACGAATTATCTGTTATTAGCGACAGTGAAGGACTCACGGGTTTTCGATGAAGTAATTTCTCTATGTCCTGTCTGAAGTTATAACTGCTGACTCGCATCATCTAACCGAACGCCATTCTTCTGCTCGAATGTTCTATGAGCTACCAAGAAAGTCGACTTGTACGTTAATGATAAAGATATCTTGTAACGCGACTGCCTGCTTGTAACGCGACAGCCTGCTTGTAACGCGACTGTCTGTTTGTAACGCGACAGCCTGCTTGTAACACGACTGTCTGCTTGTAACGCGACTGTCTGCTTGTAACGCGACTGTCTGCTTGTAACGCGACAGCCTGCTTGTAACGCGACTGTCTGCTTGTAACGCGACTGCCTGCTTGTAACGCGACAGCCTGCTTGTAACGCGACAGCCTGCTTGTAACGCGACTGCCTGCTTGTAACGCGACTGTCTGCTTGTAACGCGACTGCCTGCTTGTAACGCGACTGTCTGCTTGTAACGCGACTGTCTGATTGTAACGCGACTGCCTGCTTGTAACGCGACTGCCTGCTTGTAACGCGACTGCCTGCTTGTAACGCGACTGTCTTCTTAACGCGACTTGTAACTAAGCTCAGGGTTTGAGTTGTGAGAGCAAGTAATAAGACGGTTTGTTTGAAAGGTGTAGCGCTTGATTAACAGGCCACATCAGGCCTACACTTCAGCGCCGAGATCACTATTTTAACACCTTAGCTAATTTCGTAGAAGTTGTTTTAAATACTGGGCATTTGGTGGTTCAAATAAAATTTAGTTGATATCCGTTTTTTAAGTGAATATAAGGGTATACGTGATTATTGTATTTATAATTTTGCAGGGACTGAACTTTTCTTTACTTTCTGGAGCAAATTAATGTGGTTAATTAAGATGGTCGAGTAAATAAATAGGGACACAAAATTTCTTATAATTTAGTTTGTAGGTTTTATTATATAGTTTTTATTACATATTTTTTAAACCGGGAACTAAGATTTTCATGGTTCGTACAAACTTCTCTGCGCACTTCAGACCAGTTGCGTCGCATATCTTCTTCCTGATATTATTAATGGTTTTGTTCAGGTGCATTGTAAAGAATAATCTCACATATACTTTTCTACGTAGTTGATTATTTTTCCCTCAGCTTATAAAAAAGTGAGGCTGGAGGTTTGTTGTTGAAGTGAACACTGTTATGGTGGAATGCACAACACTCCTGCCGCCCAAATTTTCCAACCACTGATAACATTGAGCGCGACAAAATATTAATAAAGCTCAAGGTAGGCAAACGGCCCCAGTTTTTCCCATGAATTATAGTTAACTTTTCATGCTGTCCCAGACATGTTCTCAGCAGACGTCTTGCGGCTTGTCACCTCCCCAGCTGCGTTGCGACTCTAACATCCGAGGGCAGCTTCTGTTATTATTAAATCTTCGTCTGGTATGCGGGTGACCACGTCACACGTTAGCTACCTCGGCCGGGCACAAGGTAGCGAACGTAACGCAGAGATCGGGCTAAACGAGCTCAACTCTTTTACTTATTCTGACTTCCGCTGTAGTAGCTAATCTATGTTCAATAGGATACTAGGTTTTGTTGTGCAACTGTCGAGGCGAATAGCTGCGGGCAAATGACAATGATAGTTTCATACCAGATAACTTAACAATCCGCTTAAATATGCGACGTCATAACTGCCATATAATCGATATTTGTATTGCTATTGCTAGACAAGAGGCAGGAGATTATCGTTGTAGGAGAACCAAGAACGCGAATTATTCAACGTAGAGAGACTCTATGGTTGGAGCAAAGGTTGGGTTTGGCCACACAAAGAGGCAATGCAGCTAGCATCCTAACAGCAGTCAGAGAAAAGTTCGACGTGGGCCCGCTCCTCGCTCGCGTCACAGCTCAGTGACCCTCGGAGTCGGTGTAGGCCACCATCAGAGGCGTTAAGGTCGGGGCCCTGATCATTGACATGAAACCATTCCCTGGTTTTAATTAATAAAATTAATTTCCTTTTTGTTGGAACAAGAATTCTACATGAATCGTTGTCGCGATATGAAACGCACAGAAATAACCAAGTATACAATGCAGCCAGATGAATGGTATACTATAACAAAGCGAGTACTTAATACATGCAACATGCATAACACAAGACAAATTATGCCATAAAAGTAAATTAAAATAATTCATTTTATCGGTGTCTTTTAATTTAAAATTGTTAAATAAAAAAATAAAATTAATTTAAAATCTTTAAAAGAATTGTTAATTTGAACGGTAATGAACACGAGTACTAAATTAACAACGGTAGATCTGATAATGTAAGACATTAAGATTACAGTATTTAGATTCATAAATTAGATTCAAAGTATAGTGTAATGAATAATTTTATGATAATTTGTACATGCATTTCAAGTTAATTCGTAAAATAAAATTGAGGATGTCAAAATAAATTATGCACATTTTGAGTAGCCTAACAATTATTAATTTTAACATGCCTATATAATCAAAGGATCAACAATAACAAAATAAAGCGTTACAAGATTTTCACTAGTCTGAACTGGACGAAGAACTCGCGTCCTCGGCCAACGGGTCAAAAGACACGCGTTGCCGACTGTCTGGGCGCGTAGGAGGCGAAAGTTCTTCCATGGAGTCGTCATCTGAGGACATGAAGACGTGCGTGGGAGGCCTGGAAGACGACCGAGTGCTACGTCGGTGACGTGGACTCATGAGGGGCTGGGTTGTTCCTCGTTGCGGGCTGGTGGACCCTTGTATTGAGCCTCTCCGTGGCCTCAAGTTCACGTGGTAAGGCGCACTTGAATTTGTTCGCCGAGCACGAGACCTACGAGGGGTTGTCCGATACATGCTAGATAAGCCAGACATGCTGGGCAGTGAAGCAGATGCACTGGAAGAAACAGACGAGCCTGGAGATTCAGTATTAACATTAGACAACGTTTCAGACATGCTAGTAGAAGATGTAGCTGATGACATGCAAGCCCCGCTGGATGTCGTTCCTGAACCTCCAGGAAAACCGGATACTTCGCGCGCCACGTCTTCAGACGTCTGCTGGTGACCCGTCATTGACGCGGAGTCCGTCGTCAAAAGAGATGAAGCGCGAAAAGAGGGACTCGCAGGAGATGATGTTTGCAAGGAAAGGACTGGTGTGAGTGAAGTGGTTGAGTTAGTGATAACGGAAGACAGAGCTGAGCTGGAAGAAGTCTGTATGGTGTTTGAACTAACCTGCGCGAAGGTACAGGACGATTCCCCTGAACTAAAAGGCAATTGAACCGAATAAGTTGGAGCCTGAACCGCATCTGATCCATGCTGAACATGTACCGACGATTGAACCACATTTGACTGGGGATTGATTTCACTTGGAACTCCATCTGTCGGTGGTGTCGCTCCATCAGATGAAGTTTGAGTCGAAGTGGAAGTCGAAGACGCAGAGTTAGATGAGCTCTGGCCCTGTTGTGGCTGCTGCCTTGACAACACGAGTCGTGACAGGCCTTCAGTGGAGGATGAGGAGGACCACGAGGCGTGAGGTCTTGCCAAGGAAGAAAAGAAGAAAGGTGTTCTCAAGGAAGGCGCGAGGCGATTAATCCCCAGCCGATGCCACAATGGATTCATATTGAGGGGGTCGGTGGTCGAGGTTGGTGGCGCCTGACTGATGTTGTTAAAAGACGTTCCGGTCGCGACCACAGCGCGGGGACGGGAAGCAGAGCTGAATTCTGATATGACAACAATAAAAAGAGTTCAACATAAAAATAATAACGAGAAAACCTCATATAATGGAAAAAACTGTTACAATGAATAGAAGATAATTTATGTTTCTAACCCTTTGTTTACGAATATGACTTTAGTAGCTAGGAATTTAAATTGCAATAAATTGGATAGATACGTTTGCAACAGAGCAAGACTGAAATTTTTTATACTCCATAAGAAAGCACAACTTGCGACCAAAACGCGATTAGATTGATGTAGCAGGAACTATATCAGGAAAGTCTCTTAAATGCGAGAATTTTGTTAGGAGTAATAATGACTAACTGGTTAAGAGTAATAATAACTAACTGGTTAGGAGTAATAATAACTAACTGATTGGAAGTAATAATAACTGACTGGCTAGGAGTTATAATGACCAACTGGTTAGAAGTAATAATAACTAACTGATTAGAAGTAATAATGACTAACTGGTTAGGAGTAATAGTAATAACTAACTGGTTAGGAGTAATAATAACCAACTGGTTGGAAGTAATAATAACTAACTGGTTAGGAGTAATAATAACTAACTGGTTAGGAGTACTAATAACTAACTGGTTAGGAGTAATAATGACTAACTGGTTAGGAGTAATAATAACTAAATGGTTAGAAGTAATAATAACTAACTGGTTAGGAGTAATAATAACTAACTGGTTAGGAGTACTAATAACTAACTGGTTAGGAGTAATAATGAATAACTGGTTAGGAGTAATAATAACTAACTGGTTAGGAGTAATAATAACTAACTGGTTAGGAGTAATAATAACTAACAATAAGGATAAGAAAACCCCGCATAACCCACCAGGCAGCGGTGGCAACAGGTCCCGCAGTGCCAGCAGTTGGTCGGGAGTGAGGGCGGTGATCTCGCCGTAACTGTGAGGGATGAGGGACGAGCCTGATCTGCTCGCCGTGCTCAGGGGGGCCATGGGGGGCAGCTGGGGGTCCCTCATCGAGGGCCCACTTCCTGAGCTGTTCCCAATGCTGTTGTTGCCGCGTAGCTGACGCTCCTGATGATGAAGAGTTTTAGGTGAGTAGTTCAACACCTACTTTCATGTTAAAGATACTTTCAAAATAGACAACTGTAAATAGATAAAATTTATAGTGGTTTAGGGACGGAATTGATCCAAAAATTGTGATGCATAAAATATATTCCGATTCATAAACAAATTGTTTATTAACAATGAAAACCTAGAATAACCTTTTCTTTTGAAACAAATACCGTTTTCCTAGTGCAAAAAATTCCTTATTAGTTAACGACAAAAACGCGACGTCAACATTAATGCAGACCTGCTTCATCCTATGGATGAGGCTGTCGAGTTCACTGTCGTTTGAGGACGAAGTGCCTTCCAGGGACCTCGTCTGCACAGCAGCCGTGGTGCTCGGCGACGACCGTGCGGCCACGGTCCTGGTACGGCCAGAAGAGCACGGCGACGACCATCGCAGCTCACTGGACCGTAACACGGACGACGTAGTCGTGAGAGCATTACGTCGTGACGTGGTGGGCGTGACGCCGCCACGCCGTGACGTGGTCGACGTTATGCCACCGCGACGTGACGCGTGAACATTACGTCGCGCCGTAAAGGGTGGGTTACGTCGTGCAGCTGTCGTCGCGGCGTTGAAATTGAACGTGAATGAGGAATTAGGCGAAGCCAGAGGAGATGAATCGAGCAGCCTGCTTGAGACGCCTGTAGTCCAGACACCAGAAGATCCCACAGACGACACTATTCCAGCAGATGACGTGGCGTCAGCATCTGTGTAGATATCCATGACGGCTACATCGGCCAATGGCGACAGAGAATATAAAGAAGGAGACTCAGAAACAAACGGGCTACGGGTTGCCGGCACTGAGAAATCTGATAGAGAGCCGCTGTGCAGGTCAGCAGACGGCACGGCTTGGTAGACTGGCGGTGCTGCGGACACAGTCAACGACGGCGCAGAAGCTCCGATCCCAGAATTGGACCCTGAGGTCCGGAAGAGAGGCGAGAAACTGGACCCGCCTCGTGAGGAGAACAGAGAAGGCAAGAAGGTGTTCGACGTGACGCTCGAAGGTAAACTTGAGCCCGAATTCTGTCCATTTGAGTTGACCGTTCCAGGCGCAACTAGAATTCTGGAAATGGAGGAGTGGATGCGCACCTCAGGCACTTCTTGCATCCCGTCCGGGTTGGGAGATGACAGAAAAAGTCTATTTGGCGGGATGATCTGCAGCTGCTGAAGCTGCTGATGCAGACGCTGCTGAGGTCGCTCTCGGTCAAATGGCGAGGACAAAGTCGAGGAGGAAGACCCGGAAGCCGATGTCGTAGAACTGGCGCCTCCTTCCCCAGAATCTGAGGTAACTGAAGGCGGCAGGGAAGAAGATGCGGAAAAGGAGCTCGGTCCGCTCATGGGGAGGATGGATGGGGAGGGCGTGGCATCTGGGGAAACGAGGCTCAGAGGACCAGGAGGAGAGGCGCAGCGTTTCAAAGCATCCTTCAAGCGGTCGTCCAGATCAGGGACGATCTGCACACATCAAAGTTGATTAAACAAATCGTTAAACGTTCCTTTTTAACACAAATAAAAAAACATATCGTGAAGTCAATGAATTCAGAGACCAGTGTAGGGTATCAAGGCATAGACTGAATCGACGTGGAAGACAGTTTCTTCTTTCGCATGGAACGCGAATACAGTGAAGTCAGGTAGTATAGCTATAAATGTGCAGCAAAAAGTTGCGCCGCTCCGTAAACTCAACTGAGATTCTGCTTATAAATATCATAGGCACTATCAATTAAGCCAGGTTTGAATATTATTGAATCAATTCAACTTGTTAATAGGCGAAGAAATTCAGTTGATATCTTTCAAGTTGAAGTATTATTCAATTGATTTACATCGGCAGTTAGCGAAAAAATCAGGTTGGATTCTTGCAGGTATAATTATGCAATATACCTATGCAATATACCTATGTCACCGTATATGTCACTATAATTTACCTTAAAAATGATCGAAGAAATTCAACTAGATTCTAAATAGAGGGATTGATCACCTGAAATACGTGGGGAGTGATTCTCAATAGAGTGATTGATCACCTGAAATAAGTGGGGTGTGATTCTCAATAGAGGGATTGATCACCTGAAATACGTGGGGTGTGATTCTCAATAGAGGGATTGATCACCTGAAATACGTGGGGTGTGATTCTCAATAAAGGGATTGATCACCTGAAATACGTGGTGAGTGATTCTCAATAGAGGGATTGATCACCTGAAATACGTGAGGAGTGACACGGCGGGACTCGAGCGCCAACCTCGCAGGTATGCTGGCCGAGAGCCGCGCCAGGAGCTGCCCAGACGTGTAGCGGACGCTCGGCTTCACCTCCAGCAGGCAGTGGATCAGATCCACGGTGTCGCCCTTCACGTTGTCATTCCTGCATACAGCAAAGATCGTTCATTTTTGTGAAGTAAACATTTAATACGTTTAAGTAGAAGGATACAATTTTGGCAGAATGATTCAGTTTGAATAGTAGGGAAACGTTTAGATAACGTTTACCACTTGACATCATTAGCTTCGTCATTTAATTATTCAGCTGATCATCCATTACATCGATGATTAAATAATTTTGCATTTGCCCTCGATCACTTTACGATATTCGAACACAAATATCTGTCATTTATTTCACCTTCAGAGCAAGTTATGTTCTTAAACTTTGACCCCGAATGAATATTACAAAAGGCCAAAATGAATATTAAATACCAAAATGAATATTAAATGCAAAAATGAATGTTAAATGCCAAAATGAACATTAAATGCCAAAATGAACATTAAATGCCAAAATGAACATTAAATGCCAAAATGGCAGCATGTCGCACCTGGGTATGATGTACTTGGCAGCTTTGATCTTCTTGAAGAGCTCATGCGGCACCTTATCATAGAAGGGGAAGTGTCCGTACAACATCGTGAAGAGAACCACGCCCAGCGACCACATGTCAGACGGCTTGCCTGCACGGGCGGCGTCAGCACATTACAGGTCGCACTAATACTCAATAGACTTTGTCAGCAAGAGAAATACATTCAATAATAAATATATATAATTATGAACGAAAATACTATGAAAAGCTGCGATTCATTGAGTATAAATCAGAAACAAGTATCCTAATGGCCATTTTCTCGATGTTGATGTCATCTAATATATATTATTATTATTTTAAAGTTTTTTTAATATTTGTGTAGTTTACTTGAACGTTTAAGAATCATAAATATATTCTAAACATAATCGCATTTTAGGCAGATATTTGTAAATAGGTGAAACATAAATTGGTTGAACGCAGACACGAACTCTTTGCTTGTACTTCAACACAATATATATGCAATAAATTATGCACAAGACGAACTAACGTAATTTCGAGAGCACGACAAGCAGAGAGTAGGTCTGCTGCTCTCGTCAATGAATTCCACATTAATTAAGACGGTCATGGTTATGGAAATAAACCTGGCCAACACTCAGCACCAATTGACGCAACACATTTAATAGACCTCGGTATGGATAGGCCATAAAATACGTACCTGCCGAAAGGGTACTCAATAAAAAATAGTACCTACCTCTTTCACTGACACCATTTACTAAAATCTGTGCGATAAAATCTACACGAACTGAAGTAGCGCATGCAAATAACCTCGGTAAGGCTGAGCAGAAAGCACGTCCGGGGAAATGTATGCGGGGGAGCCCCGCTGGTCCTGCAGCTTGGGGCAGCCCGGCATGAGGAACTGACCGAGGCACAGGTTAGTCAGGATGACGCGACCGCTGCCCCGCTCCACCACCAGGTTCCCGAGCTTCAGGTCTCGATGAACGATGTTTTTCTGGAAATTCAAGCAAACTTGAAATTGAACGAAGAAGCAAATATCGTGATTAAGCAAAAATTAAACATCAGTTATAAAACAAATTAATGATTGATACCCAACATGGAAATAAAAATTTCATATTATGAATATTACAGAAAATCTCTATAACCTAACTAAAGTATAAACTTTTCCAAACTTCATCAAAAATAATGCGTAGGGTACATTTTAGTAGTTTGCATGTATACAAGCGAACACTCGACATTATTATCATTTACTCGGGGATTGGCAGTGGCCTCTCCATTTGGCTTTAAATTGTGTTCCTTAATCTATTAACAGCTTGACTACTTGGTAACTGTTAATTACACTTCACACATGCACCCCTCACTTCGTGTGTACATCACACCGATCCCTTTATGAATGCTATACATCATACACGTCATATGCACTCTGTTTAACACACCTCATGTATGCTGTGAACCACAGCAGCTGTATGGTACAGAATAGTGAGAGCCTCGAGCTCGGGCAGGGCTTGCCTGGCGATAACGTAATGCTGCAGGTTCATGAGATGGTCCGTCTTGTTGGAGAACTCGTGTGGCGTCACGCAGTCCAGCACAAGACACAACCTGCGCACGATGCGGCCCGTGTACAAGCAGTCAAGGTCCCGAGGGTCAGACACGTCCGCTGCATCGTAAAGAAAGTCGTCAATGGGGCCGAACCTTCCTCTATGTCCGATCCCCAAAAATCGAGGAATGAACCTCCTGCCCTCCCCAGAGTTCCTTGTGGAAGACGACGACCTGTGCGAAGATGTGGATGCTCGAGTTCTTCGTGAGTCCTCTACTATACGTCGGTGACGAAGCGCTTCTCTAGCCCTTAGCCCTTGAGATTCTGTGCTTTGCAGTCTTCTATGATATCTACGTCCCGACTGCCGAGGTATTGTCACATAACGAGGTAGCGTGTTGGCTTGACGGGATGAATTTATGTTGCCCCTAGTTCTTGACGATGAGAAATTCCCTCTACGCCTCCGGGGAGGCGGCGGGGGTGGGAGAGCAAAAACCGAGCTTACAGTTGATGTCGCGGGAACTGCAGCTGCCGCCACGAAAGTGGAACTTGTTGATAAAGATGGCAGTGTGGCAGTTGGTTGGAAGGTTGACACTGAACCGTCATCAGCAGATGAAGTTGGTTCAGAAGGAAGCGTCGCGGTAAGGTTTGGTGTTGCTGTGCTTGCAGAAGCAGGCCGTATGGTGGCAGAGTTGGCTGGAGCTGCACGTGAAGTTGATGCCGATGACTGCCGCCCTAACGTGATGGGTAAATTTGTTTTAAAAAATATGAGGGGATGATTTTAATAGTGTGGGGTAAGAGAGAACAAGTGAGGAGTGGATTGAAATGATCGTGGATTTGTCTGAGGGAGCAACTTTGGCTGTGATTGAGTGAGTTCAGATGTATTTGCAGGACGCATGGAGAAGGAGAGAGGAGAAGAGGATGGTAAGAGTGAAATCTTGAAGAGTGAAGAGGAGGGGGGCAGAAGGCCAATTTAATCGAGCTGAATGTTTGTGCACTTGGATTCAAATCCTATTTACTTCGTTGCACATAAATGCTTTCTGTTTAATTGAAAATGTTTTAGTTTCTTATGTTACAGCATTGAAAGCAATTGAGGTTGAATGTTTTAGATCCCTAGGAAAGAACTTTTTTTCTTCAGGATTTTTTTAATGAATAAATCTGTTTTGCCTATATGACTGGTGTTAAAATCTGACCACGGGTAAACATGCTCCTAATTCCAGTTATGAAGGATCAAACTCAACCATAAGTAAATCCACCGGAAATTAACAAGGCATAAATTAAGATTTATATTCTTTGAAAGAAGACTTACATTCTTTCTTCTTTAGTGAAATACTTCATTTTCACTAGGACTAAGCTAGAGGCTTCAGACTCAGAAGTATGAATGTGTAGAATGGTTATACATACGTTCCTCAAATTCTGCTGTATTACCATATTTATAATATACATACAAATAACAGTAGATATTAACAGAACAGTAGGTAGATAGGCCATGACTATACATAAGAATATTTATTTACTCTGAGATGATGAGCGTTCATTGGAGGGACGAAAGCTGGGAATTTTCTTTAAGGAACCCACGTTTTGTGACCGCTGCCTCTGAGTTTGGTTTTTCTTGCGCATGCTAACTGAAGCCTTCACATGTGACGGCCGCATTGGTGAACACCTCCGCACACAGTCAAAGGCATAATCCTGATATGAAAAATCAGTTGTAAACAACATAAGAAAGCAATTAAATGATCAATTAGTGTTTGAAAAAAACTGCAATTATATGAGCTATACCGGTAGGTACTATAAATCCAATACATAGATTATCTTGAAGGTAATATCATGTGGAACTATCCTTGAGAATAGTTCTTGAATACCTATATAAACTAAAAGCAATAAAATATCAAAAGAATAACTATCACCTGAAAGAGAGCATGCATCCCAATAACTCCAGGAGTGTCTTTCAACATGGACAATAGAGAATGTTCAGTATGAAGAAGCATTTTTCCTTGTCGATCATCCTGTGTTTCATCTTCTCCTTCATAAATGGTGAGCACCTTCATTGTATAGAACTCATCTGTAAAGTATGGCAGTATGAGAAACAAGCATGACCAAAATTCAAACATAATCCATGGGACTATAGTTTGTAATAATGCTTAAAAAACTATATTCAAATTGCAGCTATCAATTCAACAGGTACCTAGCTGAAAATATAAATTACTGTTTAAACTGATATGCTTTTTTTCTTTACTTGAACTAAAGCTTTAAATAAAATTAAACTATAAATAATTTGATACATGCCTGCAAACAATCTGAAAATTATCAGGTATATATATAACACCAATAATGAGCAATTATTGGGCTCATCCAATAATAATGTCTAATTATACCATGTATGATTGTTTCTAATTAATTATTCACCTGTGCCAACTTTTCTAGCTAAGCACTGGACAACAGAATTGACTGGTGATGATCCAAGATATGGACCAAGCCAGTAGTCTCCTGCTCTGTACATGCGACGATTTTTCCGCACCTTGTTGGTTGTAGGCACTGAAAATATAATTAAAACTCTATTGGGAGATCAAAATGGATAAACAATGTTATTAGTGTCCTACAACAATTAGATTATAATTGTAATTAATGATTTGAAGAACTAATATATAGGGTAGTAATGAGTTACGACAAGACTATGATTTATAAATATTCATCTAGGCAAATAATTGGAGAAGATCTTCATAAAATGTTCTCATTGAAAAAGGTGCAGCATAATAACTCACAAGTAACATCTTTTAGTATTTTGTTGACTCTCATCAAGTTGGTATTTTTCTTCAGACATCTGAGCTCTGATGGATCATCAGCAACAGAGAATGCAAGGGGAGATGAAGTATGCCCCTTGATTTCTCCAGGTGGGTGTAATAATTGAGATCGGATTTTTCCTCCCTTTTTAGATTTCTCAGTGGTGCTTCGTGGATCATTGCCAGTTGCTGCACTCTGTCCAGTCCTATTGGACATGTTGCTAGTTGCATCTGCAGCAGGGAAGCTTGTTGTGCCAAATGAGGATTCAATTGTAGAATTAGCCAAGCCCCTAGCATTAATTGGAGCCTCTGCATAAAGAATGCATTGCGTGATCAAATTTACTATATATGCTTATATCCAAATATTTTCCAAACAAATATTGCCATCAAACTATAAATTTAACTAGATTACTACTACTATAGCATTCAACAGTATAAATCTTTTTGACACGGCATCAATTTTTCGAAACTTCAATGCTACTTTTAGATGAAGTTTGGAACGAAATTCCTAAACAAAAGCTAATTTTCCATTAATAATCTGATTTTTGTATAATTGAACCCTCTTGGAGAAACATTGAAAAACAGAAGACAGTTACTACAGCAACAAATGTTTTCTGAGCAAACATTTGGTACACTCACTTCATTCAGTAGGTACAAAAACTCCAAATTTGTAAATTGAAATTTTTTCTGAAAAATGTTTCTATTAATTAATATCTGATTTTATGACCATTTTAATTTCACAAGTTAAATTGATTAGGGATAGATATAAACTATTTTAGATTGTTTGCAGATCATTCATAAATTTATTTCACATTTTTTAAGAAGAACCTATGTGAAATATTCTTGCAAAAAAATGTTAAGCAACTTTTTCACTTTGAATATGCAATCTTTATTTGAAATAAAAATTTATTAGATATTCTAATGATTAAATGTTAACCGAATGGGAAAATTGGGCAGAGGCCACCCATAAAAGTTAAATGAGAGAAAAACTATCATGCTAGGAGACAATTTCATCCATTCCTATGGCCCTTGCATAAATTTTAGTAATAGCTTCAGAATTATTAAAGTAAATGGCACACTTTTGCCTTTGATTTTTTAAAATTACCACTAAAGCAATCTTTTCTAACCATAACTTTTTAAAAATTAAGCCTGATGTTAGATTTTCAAGGAAAATTTTACTTAAATCTATAGCATTTGTCCAATTTATCATAAAAATTATACCTTTCCATTGCTATCTTCCAAAATTACCCACTGAATAAATGCTTTCAATTATTTTGGTAATTGGTATCATAGTCTAAACTCTTAGGACACTCTTAAACTCTTAGGAACTCTTGTTCTGAGTTCAAGATAATTTTAATGATATGTAGCAGGCAAATCTTGTGTTAATACATTTTGATACAAAATGATACAAAATCATTCAGCACTCAACAGATAAAGGGCCAAGCTAAGTCATTTGCAATTAATGTTATAGAAAAGCAATATCTTCTTCAATGCCATCCAATAGTTGGTCCAGTTGGACAGCATTACAATAATCAATCATTTTGGTGATTCACTCATACATCTTCCACAATCCAAACAGCACACACATGGATGAAACTTGAAAATGATGGATCTTTCAAGACGAAGCAAAGCTGCAGCCTGCAGATCTGCTCCGGTGAGGTCAACATCCATTAACGATCAAGAATTATCATCTGCTGGAGTAGATGGATGAGGCCAACTGGCACTGGGGAATTTTGTCTCTCAGTTGTGGTGGGTAAGATGGTAAGTGCAACCCAACAGCAGTGCAGGCATGGAATACTAGGTATATCCACTTGGCGTTGGCAAGGCAGGCAAGCTGTGACTGGATTTTTTGAGCATTGGTTTAATGGGTTTGCCAGCCATGATTCTGTTTTTTTGAGCCGTGAATTCCATATCTCGGCCATGAAAAGCCATTTATAAGCCACAAACTTATTATTTACATGGTCTCATACATGTGTTTAATTGTGTTACTCCACAGTCCACATCTCTAATTTTACTCTAAAAACATTCACTATCATTTGTTTTCACTGAAGCGGCAACTGATGTGACTGCAACTGCGCTATCTTCAAGGAAACGTCTTGGAATATTATTGTTGTTGATATTACGTTCTGCAAGTTATTTTTTTGGCAGGAGGCAGGAGCTGGAGCATTGAAGTATATATACCGAACTGCAGATTGTGATAGGGGAAAATTTTATGAAACAGCATGTTTGCAAAGAGCAAACTGCAATTTTTTCAATCAAACAAAAAATTATGACATTAGAGCCATCAAGTTTCATACAGTACCTTACTAAAATTATACCTATGATATTAGAGCAGCAATATTTCAGAAAAAAAAAGACTTTTCCAGCCCTGCAACAGTGGTAATCTTCTGAGTTGATCTCTCTATACTCTATAGGACTAATAGGAGCTGCAATCAATCCAGTATTGGTAAGTAAGTAAGGTTTCCGGTATGTTGGATTGATCAGTATGCAGTGAAGCTTGTCCAGAAATCAGTTGCAATGAGTTCCCACCAAAAAAAATGTAAACATCAAGTTTATGATTACGTAGTTGCGGTCACATTAGAGTGGTCAGACTGCATGTTCAGTTGACACTTGCTGTACAATTGGACTGTTTTTAGGGTAAAATTTGTTATTTGGGGTAACACGTGCATGCAACCTTGTAAATAAGTTTGTGGCTTGTAAATAGTTTTTCATTACTCAGCGTAAATGGCTTTTCATTAAAAATTACCCGGCGACGCATCTTAAAATTACCCGGCGACGCTTAAGGCCAAAAAACCCATATATTGGCGACGCTGCATCCACCCTCTGCACCATAGTTTGTAATTTGAGTCCTATAAGTAGACTAGTAAAGTATCATGGATACCAGCAATGTATCCAGGATCCAGCATTATCATACTTGAGAAATTGGTTTAAATCTTGAAATTTGAATAAATGAGGAAATTAAAAATGAACTGATTCTAAAAAATCTCTGGTTTGTCACTATGTCCCCCACAGGGTTGGCAATGATTAAATCAAAATGATGAAATCATGTGATTAAATCACTTGATTTTTTATAAAAAAAATCGTGATTTTTTTTATTTTTTTTTTATTTTTTCATATATTTAAATATATTGAGTGGCAGTCTTTAATTTATATTGAGGTATTGTTATTCATGGTTTAGTATAAATGTACTATAAATGACAAATTGGTACATAAACTTGTTGCCTTTAGTGTGTATTAGGTTCCAATAAATACTAGTCAGTGTGTATAGAGGGTAGAGTCTGGTAGATTTTTAGGACATAAAACTAGTAGATCTATTGATAGTGCTGTGCACTGTGCTATCAGCTACCTATCTGTTATGTGACTCTTCAATGTTTAGGAGATCTGCATTCCTGAAGTGTTTTTGTATATTGAAGCCAGTTAAATGGTCAATATTTAGCTTATTACCTTGCTCCATACAAACTTTACAAGGCTAATGAATAGACATAGTACCAATAATTATTTACCCAAAAATCCCTAAGTGGTAAACACCACCTTGGCCTGTTGGCTATTATTGAAGGCAATAAGTGCCCTTTTTAGCCATCCATTATGATCCATATACTGTTATTGACTTATTGTTAATAGGCTAATTGCAACATAAAAAAATAACACTGCAAAAGACAAAAAATTTGAAAAAATGGAAAAAAAATCAAATAAATAAAAAAAATCATGAAAAAATCAAAAAATCATTGATTTTTGATTTTTTTTATTTTTTTAAAAAAATCAAAAAAATCGCCAACCCTGGTCCCCCACCCCCAGCATAACTCTACCTCTACGCTTAGTCGCTTACCCCCATCTCCCCGCTTTTTTGCACCAACTGCTGGACGGCTTTTCATAGTTTCTGCTCACTTGACTGCATTACGCTATGAAAAGAGGATCTATACAACTTGTAACCTAACCTAACCTAATTCGGATTTTGGATAAGCATTAAAGGTCTGCGAGACTGCGAGACTGCAAGAAAAGCCTCCAGCGAGCCATGACGTCTGGCGATAAAGGTGGAGAATCGGGATAAGTGAAAGTATGGGGGGAAGAAGTTCTTCCCCCCAGACCCCAGTGAGCCCCACACTTTCACTTTTGAAGAAGATGCTGGGGAGTGGGGGATGGTAAGGCAGGGAAACAGTGACGCAACCGCAAGGGTTCACGTCTTGCGGTTGTGGAGCCGGAGTAAGTAAGGTGATGACGCATTACCGTTTGCCGTTTGGTACAGTAACAGTACTACTGTAAGTCTGTAATACAGTTCACATTTGCGGCAATGCAGCGCAGTCAGTGGACCCTTAGGAAAACATCATAGAGTGCATTTGTAAGAAGTGATGGTATGGGTTACAAAGCATTGGAGAACAACGTATTAAATGTTGACTATGTGGAGAGACTGAGACAGGAGAGTCAGTGAGTCACGTCTGTCACGAGAGTGGAGTAGCCTAGCAGCTCCAGCTTGTGTGCTGAACTTCTGAAGCAGTGTTGGCTTAAAGTTCGTGTGGCGAGATAGGTCAATTGACTACAGCTGTTTAGGTGCCAAGATGACAATATCTATAGCTTTTAGATGGTTGATGTTGGCTGAGTGCTCCAGGGCTGATTTGAGCGTTAATTTGCTGGTCTACGGCTGCGTACCCGTCACTTGGTGGTGGTGGTGGCGGGTTATAGATGCATAGATGACCTCACTTCAGGCCAGCCGTTGCACCTGGACATGGCAGAGGTTGATGAAGTTTCTAGATTGTTTTCTTCACTTTACTTTATTTCTTCTGGTTCTTGTACAACATACATGTCCACCACTGACATGATTCTTCTCGCGTTTTGTTGATTTTCTTCTGTT